GACTACTTTACAGATAATTAAAACTAACATGTTTACTAATCTATAAAGTACTACAGACATATAAGATGTTTATTAAAAGAAACTTAAGAGGGGCGCTTCGGTGGCTCAGTGGGTTGAGTGTCCCACTCTTGGTCTTAGCTCAGGTCATGATCTCAGGGTCATGGGCTCAAGCCCCACTTCCGGCTCCCTGCTTGTGCTCCAGGAGAGGAGTGCCTTGAGATCCACCATCCCCATGCCCCTCCCCTCAACTCCCACACCCTCTCTCTAAATCAGTAATAAAATCTTTAAAAAAAATCCTCTCCCTCTCCTTTTGCCCCTCCTCACCTCTTAAAAAAGTAAATAAGAAACTAAGAGAAATCAGGACTTTTGCATTGATGTTTAGTATGGAGGGAGATGATGGTAATACACTGAAAATATAAAGTTTGAATTAGAATATCGTTTTTACTATTGGCTCTTTTATCAGATATGTTCTATTTTACATTTGGGCAACTCAAGGATCTGGGGACTCGATAAAGGTTTGGAGTATTTTAAACTTTTTAAAGCCATGTAACTTTAAAAAATCTTTTTTTTTTAATACTTATGCCTGGAACATACATACCACGCACTGTATTGGGCTTTAGGGAAATGAGTAATATTGCATGGAATAAATCCTTAAGGAATTCAGTCTGGTGGAGAACTACCCTTTAAACAGTATCTACCTTACCTGGCGTAAGCACAGGGCACCAAGAGAGTACCACAAAGAGCTCCTAAAGGAATCAAGGAAGGGTGTCAGGGGAGGAATCCTGAGAAGAGGTTCCTTTGCAGTCTGGAGAAACAATGAAGAAAGAGCTGGGAGTAGGGGATGGTGGGACAGGCCCTAGGAAAGAAGAGCAGATTGTGCAAAAGCTGAAGGACACAAGAGTACCCACTATGGGAAGTGTAAGCAGTTCAGATTGGTTGGAATACAGAAAGGGGAAGGGACAGGAGTCTTAGCAGAGAGCCTTTAGACTGAGGTTTCAATGTCTCCATCAGATTCAGCTCACCTGACTGACTCTCAGTTTTTCATCTGTAAAGGGGCTAGTGATGTGAAAGACTAAATGGTACTCCTAAATTGTCTGTAACAACAGTGCTCTAAAAATAGTGGGTGGGCAACAGATACATTCCCCCCTCTTCCTTTGTACACAGGCATGCAGCCTAGGTTAAGAGTGACCCTGAAAGTTACCGCTGCCTAGATAAAACCACAGCTCTTCACTCGCCAGCTCTGGACAGGTTGAACTCGTCAAACCTCAGAGATACCAGTAGACAGCAATGGTATCCACCTCACAGACCTGCCCTGAGACTTACATAATAAACAAATCTCCTGGTCACTGTCTGGCACACAAGGAAAACTCAACAAATGTTAGCGTTTACAACTGCTATTATAGGTCTGCAAACCTTTCTCTGAAGTTCTCCATTCAGAAACTTTTGAAAATAAAAGAAACCTTCACAAAACAGTTTTGGCAAAGCCTGACCTGAGGCTATTTACAGTTTCCATTAAGTCACACCTATCACTGCACAAACATGAATGTTGTCTGAGGGATGCTGCCGCGACTTTGCGGGGCTGATACCTCTTGTTTATGCATCTTACTCTCTTCCTAAAATCTAAAGATACAATCCAAAGATTTCTGAATTCCAAAACACACTGGCTCCAAGGCTTGCAGTTAAGGCACGGGTCTCTTTCTGTTCCTCCTGGAGAGAGGAAAAGAACATTCTAATACACACAACCCAACTCAAGTTTCTGAGACAAACTAGCTTCGAATAGGAGGTTCAGAGACGCCAGTACCAAGAAAAATTTCTTCTTCCTGCCCAATGAATACAGCCGAACAAAGAACTTCTGAAAGATCACTGAAGGCTATCTTGGCCTGTAATGAAGATTCGTTTTCAAGACAGGCCTTTACAATCATCAGGTGTGAGTGTGTATTTCTTTAGCTTTAAGGCTATAAAAGTTTTTTTCCGGTATGGTTTGACTGCCTCAACATTAGAAATTTTATCCAGTAAAAGCACCGCTCTTGGTTTTCAAAGAGGAAATGGTTCAGCTATTTATAACCTTCCATGCGTAACATAAGCTCCTAAATCCTAAAAAAGAGAGTATCACAGAACTCAGCACTTCTCATGGTTTCTGTCATGTGTATTCACCGAATGTATTAGCTAGCAACTCCTCTGGTTTAAGTAACGACCAGAACGTTGTCACATTGCGGACAATCTTAAGCAAGTGCCAGATTCCAAGACTATTCAGGCCCATCTCTCCCGTTTTATTAGAAATTAATGAATGGGGGAAGGGGGTCGGGGCCGAGGGGCGCGAGCCGGGAACCATTTAGGGCCAAAAGAACAAAGGGAGTCCGGGATCAACCGGAGCGAACCGGCCTCCGAGCGGGTCGCGCCGCCCGGGAAAGGGTGGGGACGGGTGGGTGGGGGAGGGGCCGGGCACGCTCGCCGCCCCGCCCCCAAACCAGGCCTGACGTCAAGTGCGGAGAAACCCGTCGGGCGCGACGTCACCCGCCTCCGACGCCTTCTCCCCGGGGAGCTCTCGGGGGGCACGTCGCAGCTCAGAGGAAAATGGCGGGGGCAGACGCTTAGTCCCAGCCCCCGAAAAGGCGACTCCAGGTACCTCTGTTACCGCGCCCGTCTCCCGCTTGGACGCTCTCCCTTGCGCCCCTCCACGATCCCCACTAGCGCCGAAGCAGCCTCACCCGGCAAGATCCGAGCCCGCAGCAAAGTCTAGAAGCGGCGATGGGTCCGAGCGAACCGGGTGCCGAAGAACCGAACGCGGAGTGACTGACGTTAGCGGCGGCAGCGGCGGCAGCGGCGGCGGCGGCAGCGGCAGCACCAGCAACACCAGCACTAACAGCGCGCGGCTCCTCCTGGCGCCGGAACAGGAAGCGCCGAGCGCACCGCCCCCGCCCGCGCTTTCCCCTCCTCCCGGGGCCGGGCCGGGCAGCGCGCGCGCCCCCAGCAGGCTTCCGGCGGCACTGCGGCCTGCGCAGCAGGGCGGGGCGGGGCGCCGCGGCTGCTCTTCGGGCTCGCCCAGGGTGGCTGTTTCCTTCTGGTGGGTGGGAGGAAAGCTCCCCGGTTTTCCGGAATTCTGGAGGAAATGCCTGTAGTCAGTGATGTTCTGGGCACCCCGGCGGAAGCTGCTAACTTGTTTCCTGGAGTGGTGTAAGGACTGGTTCTGGATTTCCTACGCTTAGGGATTTTTACAGCCGGGCCTCGAAGCTGGCTGGGTGTGGATGCGGCCGACCAGCGGATGCCGGCCCTCGGGCCCAAATGGAGGAGAGCTAAAGGAACACCGCAGGAAAGGGAAGACGTCTGTAAATGGCTTGGCAATTGATACTGACTAAAAGCTGTCTATGCAGGCTTTTCCTGATCAATGCCTGATCAATGCCTGATCACATGTTCATCTTTGAATAAAACTTTACCTATTCTAGGTTAGTTCTGAAGGGTAATGGACAAATTCCCCCAGCGCCAAGGAATCTGCTAGCGAGTTTTGTAGATGCCATAATTATATAGTGTGTAAAATACATATACATATAGTATGTACATATACGTAAAAATACGTTAGAAGGATTCAGAATCATTACATTTTGCTTTGTGTAACCCGTTGGTGGGTCACTGGGCATAGGCATTTATTAGAAATTTCTTAAACGAAGACATTCCTGGGTATGCTCCTCCAGCACACACACTTCTCTTACCGAAAAACGAGCTATAGAGAAGCTGCAAATACCCAAGCCTGTTGAAGACTTATTTTTGGACAGGGAAAATGGTCTATGGAAAAGGGTATGAGTGTGATTTACTCTGCCCTCAGGAGGCAGTGAATCCACAGTGCCTTGTGGAGCTATAAGGAAGCGTGAGTCACCAGAAGTCAGTAAAACTATTTAAAATTTTGGCATTTCTCTTCATTAGGTTATTTTAATTCTGGTAGTATCTAAAAAGATTTTGAGAGAGAGCAAGAGAGCACAAGCTGGGGGACCCACAGAGGGAGAGGGAGAAGTAGGCTCCCCGCTGAGCAGTGAGCCAGTCACAGAGCTCCATCCCAGGACCCCGGGATCACGACCTGAGCCAAAGGCACACTCTTAACTGACTGAGCCACCCAGGCGCCCCTTAATTCTGAATTTAAAACGTTGTACTGAAATACGACATTTTCGGTCAAAAAATTTTTGTGCCCAAGTTGAGTGCCTCACCCACCTCACCCCAGTCCTGGTCACTATCAGAGTAACTGACAGCCTCGTTTTCCCATGCTCTCAGCCAGTAACAGCGTACTGTGTTCTAGAGCTAGGCCATTCCTGTCCCACATGGGCTCCCTCAGTCAACCTTTGTTTGGATACTTAATCCCCCATTTCACTTTTTCACAACTGCACTAACAGCAGTCTGAACCCCACCCTCATCAATCTGCATTTCTTTCATGTATGTCAGACTTGCAAAGTGATGGGGAGACTTCCACACCTTCTTCCTTCGTGTTTCCCCAATAAATCTCTTGCACATTTAATCGCATTTTGGCATCTGCTTCTAGAAGACCCAAACTGACACATTAACACATAAGGTGTATTTTGAATTAGAAAACGTGTAATACAGATTTTAAAATTTTTTCTTACTCTTTTTTTAGATTTGAGAGTGTACGCGGGCATGAAAGCGGGGGGGGGGGGGGGGTGGGTAGATGGGCAGAGGGAAAGACTCCCAAACATCTTAGGACCCTGAGATCATGACCTGAGCTGAAACCAAAAGTCCGATGCTTAACTGACTGAGCCACGCAGGCGCCCCCAATTTTTTTAGATTCTAAGTTGAATGTGCAAAGCCAGGATATACAGTGTTTTTTGTTTTTAGAGAGAGCTTGTGCAGAGAGGGAGAGATAGAATCTTAAGCAGGCTCCATGCCCAGGGTGAAGCCCAAGGCGGGGCTTGAATCAAGAGTCAGATGCTTAGCCAACTGAGCCACCCAGGCACCCCAAGATATACAACGTTTTAAAAACAAAATACAAAGCCTTTGGGTTTTATATACGAATTTTTAATTAAGAAGAAGTGAAAATTTATTCAGATCAATTTATTTGAACTCACATCCAAGAAGAAACATTCAACTTTAGGATTAGAAATAAAAATGGAAACAGTCTACTTCTTTTTGGGTAAGGGGAGGATCATACAAGCCCAACTGACGAGAGTACTAACAGTTTTGTGAAATTACTACTTAAACTCTGTATATTCAAGTATATATCAAGTTCATACTTGGCTTATACAGAATTGATTCAATCCTAGCAAAGTAAGTGTAATTTAAGTAAACCTCCTTGAGTTTTACTTTCCTAAGTCTGAAAGTTTAGATTTGATTATAACCACAGCAAAAGTGATTATCTTCACTTCCTGCAAACATAATCAACTTTTAAAATAACAGGCAAACATCAATTTTACATAAACCTTATTAAGGGTAGGAGGAAACTGCAATTGTTCATCCAATTCCAGAGTCTAAACCATAAATCCAAATTGTACTGTTACCTCTATTGTCAAATCAAGCCAAGAAAGCCTATTACAGACTATAAGAAGTGAATGTGAGTTTGCAGGGTCCACTAAGGGGATACTTTGAAAATCTATCACGTTATTTTCAAGAAATTACAGAAATTATTTTCAAGTATGCTCCAAGGGTCATCTCTTAAATGAATTAACCTTCAGGAAGTTGTGACAAGTATTATTTTTCTACATTTTATATGCTAGGAGATGAAGATAAAGATTTAGGATTGAGTAATCTATTCAAAATTAAACAAAAAATAGACTCTGCTTTTATTTGAAATAGGATTAATGTGCCTCAAATCCCTTTCCATTGGGCTGTATCCGTTAGTCTACACTTCTACTTAGAAGCCAATCCATTTAAAAAGTCACTTCCACTGTGTCGAATAACTTAATATATTAGAATGGCATAGGCAGACTCTTGCAGCATTGCTCATTTCTACTAGGTCATTAAAAAAAGAAAAAAAAAAACCTTTGTGCTTTCTGTTCATTCTTTAGAAATAAAAATAAATGTAAAACTGATTACAGTTAAGACCAAAATTGTAAAGATTTTTTTCCAAAATAGAAACAATAGTCTGCTTGACTTAAAATCTTTTATTCATTTGGGTATTACTTAACACACAGGGTTTTTTTTTTACATTTAAACATTATTCTCCCTGTGTTGTCTCCAGAAATAATTAAGTCTACTTTCCTGTGAGATTTACTCCACCAAAATCAATATATATAGCCTATTTGACTCATTATAGCTAAAAGTGACAAAAAAGTTTTTAAATGAAAACTAAGAGTATAAGAGTTAGGTTTCAAGGTTTTTGTTTCATAGGAAGAAACCGCTCTATTACGTGGGTCTATAAAATGATCCAAACTTCAGAGAGACAGGAAGCTGATCACTTGATTTGTCTTCTTAATGGCTTTGGCTCATGAATAAATAATGGTTTGTGTTTTTCTTATAAAAGGAAATGGAATTTGTAGGAGTCCTATTGGCCACATTTACTCTAGTTTTTAAAGTATTTCTAATTACTTAGACATTCTTTATATTATTTATAATAAGTCACAACTTTAACTGAAAGCCATTCTTTGACCATTAGCTTAAATTCAGGAAAGAACACAGTTCTGTTCACCAAATCAATAAATCTAACCACAGGCTGACTAAAAGCTTCCTTTAATCTTCTTCCTATTAGGTCTTCCTTTAAATTAAACCATTCTCTCTATGAATTATTTAAGTGAATGGCATGGCTATAGAAAGATCACATAGGATTCTTCATACAAAAATGCTCAAGGAACCTAAAAAACCCCATTCAGAATATTTCAAGAATTAAGAGTATGAATCAAGATGCTATAGCTTTAAAAAAAAAAAAAAGATGCATGGTAGTGGTGGTGGGGTTGTCCTGAAAAGCTTGAGAAATAGAAAAGTCAAGTTTATTTCCTGATTAGTGCAGGATGATTCCCAAAGCGCAGTTAAGTGTCTGGTCCAGACTAGCTATTAGCAGTTAAGTAGTTCCCTTTCACTGTCAAGGCTCTTCCCTGAGGTGATGCCTAAATTCTTAATTTTAATATTTTATCTTGTTTCTTTTAGCTCCATCCTCTCTCACCAATAAGCTCTACACAATTCCACCATGCTGATGCTTTCTCAACTCTGGAATTTACACTTTTCAAATGCCCACAAACTTAGAGTTACAAAATTTATATTTAGATATATTTGTATCTTTCCTCATGTTCCTCTCATGACTTAGTCACTTTTGTTATATATTCCAATAATTACATATTTTACATTTAAAAAATAAGTTTGTGAATACTGAATGCTCTTCCAAATGTATCCTCACAAAGTCAGAGAAAGGAATTAACCTTTCTAAATTCCAATTCTTTAATGTTTTAAAAATTTATTATTACTCTTTCCTTTTTCCTTCATGGTAAACCATTCCCTTCTCAAGTCTTTATACTTCTACTTTCCAGATTTCTTTTCACTGTAGCAAATACCAAAGGAAAAATACAAACCATTTCAGAGTAAATGAGTCTCTTCCCTGCTCTCATTTATTAGATCATTTAGTTCAAGGATATATGTATGGCAGTATTTTGAAAATGTTAACAGCTATTAATACCTTGAAGTTGAAAAAATAAGAAAGCCAGAGAAAATATATCACAAGCAACCAGTTTGAATATATGAAAAGCTACTTATATCTTGATTTTCATATAAACATTAATTTGTACCATTATAAAAGACAACATAATTATATTTCATTTTTTCTTTATAAAATTACTCTTTAACAGAATATTTGTTAGCTAGTCATCCCTTAGGTTTTTCTGTACTGATAAAAAGTTACTTTTAAAAGAAAACTATTTAAAACAATAATTGTTTCACAGAAACAGAAAGTCTCATTATCAAAATCTGATAAAAAACTATAATCATGGGTAGAGTCTTACTATTAATGTTCTTTCACCAAAAATGGATATTTAGGAAGTGTTTTATTGGTAAATAAGACAACCTTCTCAGTGATCTACAAAAGTGTCACAATAAAGATGAGGTAGTATGAGACTTTTCTACTTTTGTAAAAGGAAAATATCATCTTTAGAAGAGATATTTATCCCGATATCGGTGTTAATGATATCCTGAGCCTCATTACTCCACAGACAGGTGCCATAATTAGTAGTTACCCTACCTGGAACCAAGACAATCTTGAGATCACTGAGAAAAAAAATGCTAGAAAATGGTAAGAGATTTTCTTGGTTTAATTTTGTTGTAATTGCTAAAAATTTATTTCAAAGCTATTACTGAAAAATTCCATCTTTATGTTTACAACAGAACTGCAGGAAAGGGAAATAAAAGCAATGATACTTAAGAAACATCTGTTCTAACTTGGAAAGTTGAGTCAAATTTCTTTCAGTCCAGGTGGACGCAGCTTCCTACTAGACCTAAATTATCATCAAGAAATCAACTACTATGATATTAAAAAAGCCAATTTGTACAAAGGGTTAGACAGCTCACCAGAAGAAACGACTGTCTAGGAAATTACGCGCTGACTCTTTAAAAAAGGGGAGTTAGATAGGATATCACTCCATTTACCTTTATTATACTGGGAAAATGACGTTTCTAAAAATGCTTCCGTATTGAGACAGCAAATTTAAAATATTACTCCTAGTGCCTAGTACTGTTCAGTATGGCATAAGCCATGTAGCTCTCAAAATGTTTTCCCTTTTTTGACGCCACAGTAAAGACATGTTAATTCTGAAGATAGGAATAATTATTTGAAACCCGAAAATCAAAACCAATATTAAGTTTCAAAAAACTGAGCTCCATGTTTACTTCTTGAATGTTTAGTGAAGCTCATTTTAAAATAATGAATACTTAGGTCCCTCTTTGGTTACCGATGGAAATTTCTGGCTGTTTATAAAACTGTGGCATCTCCCCAAAAGAACAGGCTCAGAGTTTCTATGAAAAGGCTAATCAGAAGCAACAGTTCATAAGTAAAAACAGAAAAACCCCAGAGTTGCTTTAGTATGTTAGTAACTACTATTTACTAATAATAGTGTTATCATTATTTTGAAAGCTTCCAGTGAGAAAGGAACAATATTTGTCCTGAAGATAGCAACTCATCTAGGTTGAGCAAAAGACCTATTAAAAAATAAATGACCATGCTACAGGGTAGGAAATAAATTCACCTCCAAAAAGTCATGTTCTCATTTGATTCTTCCTGATCAGATAAATCAAATTTACTAATACTGCTTTATAGTTAGTATTTAAAATGAAAATACTTCAAGTTTAATTTCAAACCATTTTGTTACCTTTAACATCCCTATTATTTATTAAGTTACAAAACTCAATACGTTGGTATGGATTGTGAATTACAACACACTCAGCTTTACTGAAGAACTTTAAAACAACTCTGAAAAGGGGGATGGGGAAACTATATTTTATGTATAGGAATGCCAATGGCATAGGTTAACAAGGGAATTTACATGTAGGAAAGGACGTAAGATTATTTTGAAAGAAAAGTATGAAATATAGATTATTTAACTGTGTTTGCAACGCCTACCAAATTCCAAATATCCCTGGATTGTAAGCGAATTACAATTAAGAAAAAAAATTAAGTAAGCATACAATCTATTTGGTAAAAACAAAAACCAAACACCTGGTCAAAAATATTCATTAACCCCTAGTGTGTAACTTTAAACAATTAGTATATCATAAGAAAAATAAACTGATCTGGAAGTAAAATTTAGGGCAGAGATTTATTTCAACTGCCCTTGTAGAAAAATTCAAAGTGACATAAGAAAAATAAAATATTAAATGAAAATATGTATATAATCATTCCCATATTCCCACACTTTCCCTAGCATTGTTCTGTTGCATCAATCCTGAGTACTCTAACTTTTGATTTATAGTGATATTCCTTCAGATATAATTTCATAGAAGAAGGAATTGGAAGGGCATCAATGCCATCATAAGTTGTACAGTTACAAATAACTGTTCTACATATATGCTGCAAGGAAAAGGGGAAAGTCCGAATTAAAGGAGTGGATAAAAGTGGTTCGAAGAACATACAGGCACTCGGGTCTTTATAATGTTCTAGGAGCCCAGTAATGTCAGGAGAATGGAAGACACAAGGATCATGTGCATCAAAGCTAAAGTTGTGATTCCACTGTTCAATTCTAGCATGGAGAGAACGACTATAGCGTCTAAAACTAACTGAGAATAAATAGTCTTCCTGTGCTGAGTCTCGCAGTAAAAAGGTACCCTCTGGTTTTCCCTCTAGTAGAGCTTCAGCTGCATATTTATCCATAACTCCCCAGTAACATGGATTGTTATTGATCTGAAGGAGGTCTGGTACAAGACAGTGGACATAATCAATCTGGGTATGGTACTTAGGAGGTGTTTCCAACTGCAGGATTTCTTCATCCATTTCCCATTTGGGTTTGTTTCTTTTCCTGGAACTTGTGCAAAGTGTTATAATTTCATCATCTGAATCCATATCACTATCTTCTATACTGTTATTTGAAACCAGGTTCATCACAGAGCCAGTCACAGGACCACCTCTACATGAAGCGCTGTTGGTGGTTATGACACAGGGCTGAACATTGGTATGTGAGAAGCAGTTTACCTCTTCTTCCACATTTCTTCTTTGTTTTAGCTGACCATCCCTCAATTCACTCTGAGACAAGTCTGTGTTTACCCATTCATTGGATTTGGGATTTATAGGAGCAGTGTGTCGTTTAATAAAATGCCACCTAAAGGCTAAATCTGATCGAGGTGGGAAAGGACACTTATCTAACATGAGTTCACTGATATGAATTTTCCTTTTAGATGGAAGCCCCGAAGAGTGCCGACCACTACAATTCTTTATTGGAAAACACTGCCCCACAGCATCTTGCAGTTTCTGTTTAAGAGATCGGCCTAAAAATCTATGCCCACAGGAATGATCTAAATCCAACTCGATGGATGAACAGCTGTGCTTCCTTTCTTGGCTCCTTAAAGGAACTTCAGTTTTCTCTACAGCATTCACTGTTTCAGCATCTGAACAACTTTCACTCTTTTTTGACCAAGACAATTTCTTTCCACTCCACACATAACCGTCCTTTCTGTCAGCACTTCTACTTCGACTAGTTTTGGGCCTTACATCTACATTTTTGCTAATACTTTCACTATTTTCTGCCATTTTAACAAATTATCCACAAATTCCAGTGTTATAAATACTGCTTTTTCAGTTTTTCCAGCAGGAAGTTTCTTCTGGGCACTCTCTGGATATATCTAAAGGGAAAAAAACAAAACAGCAGTCATTTGTCATTCACTTTTTTTTTTGAGACAGAGTGTGAGCGCATGAGCGGGGGAGGGGGAGAGGGAGAGAGAGAAGCCCAAGCAGGCTCCATGCTCAGCGCAAGCAAGTGCACAGGGGTGGGGTGGGGCGTGAGGGACAGAGGGAGAGGGAGAGAATCTCCAGCAGACTCCATACGGAGCACTGAGCCCAAATAGGGCTTGATCTCATGACCCTGAGATCATGACTTGAGCTGAAACCAAGAATCGGACGTTTAACCAATTGAGCCACCCAGGTGTCCAACTGTCATTTACTTCGCATACAGTAGTTTCTATATTAAACCCCAATCAGACATAAAATGAAAAACCACAACTAGTACAGGAACAAGATAAGAGTACTGGATATGTTGGAAGACAGTTCCAAGATATTTTGTTTTCACTTAAATGATCTGCTTTACCATATACTAGTAATTTCATAGTGCGCGGGAGTCAAGAATCTGCATTCCTGGGGTGCCTGGGTGGCTCAGTCGTTAAGCGTCTGCCTTCGGCTCAGGTCATGATCCCAGGGTCCTGGGATCGAGCCCCGCGTTGGGCTCCCTGCTCAGCGGGAAGCCTGCTTCTCCCTCTCCCACTCCCCCTGCTTGTGTTCCCTCTCTCTCTGTCTCTCTCTCTGTCAAATAAATAAATAAAATCTTAAAAAAAAAAAAAAAGAATCTGCGTTCCTTTCCCACAGCTAATTTTCAATGTAGATTAGAAAAAGTGAGGCCGCCTCTCTTAGTCCAACTGTATGCTCAAAATTGTATGAACAATTTCTAGTCTTGAGGTATATCTCATGCCAATCTCTCCTACCCTTATTTTTATTTCACAGCAGACCAGTCCGTGAATTGTTTGTAAGAGACAGTGAGAAATATATGACTTGTGTTTGAGAACCACTACCCTGTAGTTCCCTCACTTCCCTCTCCTTGCTTTCCTATTGACTGAAAATATGAACTTTAAGTTATAAAAGCTGTTAAGAATCAAATAATCAGGGGCGCCTGGGTGGCTCAGTCGTTAAACGTCTGCTTTCGGCTTGCGTCATGATCCCAGGGTCCTGGGATCGAGCCCCGCGCATCGGGCTCCCTGCTCAGCGGGAAAGCCTGCTTCTCCCTCTCCCACTCCCCCTGCTTGTGTTCCCTCTCTTGCTGTGTCTCTCTCTGTCAAATAAATAAAAAAAATTAAAAAAGAATCAAATAATCACCACTGAACAATGGGAATGCCATGCAAGCATTCCCAATACAGTTTTGTCAACTTATTTCAGTAATTGGTCAACTTCACTATCAGTCTAGGAAGTTTTTAGAAAATACGGAATCGGATAAAAATTTGTTACTTTACACATACACCTTTGTGTTTTTCTTGGTACTTCTGAGAAACAAGCAGATAAATTTCTATAGGCCAATGACTTTCCCATAAAATTGGCTGGATATATTAGAATTTACAATGTGAAATACTGAGTTTTATTAAGACTAATAGTAATGATTGGTATAGAGGGGATTAGCCTAACTATTCTTAGGTGGAATAAGATTTAAGCCCAGAATTGGGGTAAGTATTCTATAATCTCAAATATTTTACAAATGAAATTTGGATTTGGAGACTGAGAAAATCAGTCTCACTTAGCATACTGATTACAATTAAGTTTCTGGTATGTCAGAGGAACATTATAATCCCAATAGTCAAGTAAATGTTTAGAGCCACTTGAATGCATTCTCAAAGCAAGGGGATTTGAAACAAGTATCTGTAGTAGCAAATATGATTGGCAAGTACTTAGAAGTGTGAACTAATGAATCAGACTTGTCAAAGAAAATACTCCATTTCTGAACAATGAATAGCACCTGGTGATTATACAGATTATTTTGATTTAGTGACCTCACTAGTATATACTCATTTAAAATCCATATGGAAAATATTTTTAAATCTGATTTTGGAAGATACGTCATCATTTATTATACCAAAATTTTATTCAACAGTATGCTTTGGCTGTTTGTTGATTAAGTTCCACGGAGCAAAAATAAACAAGAAGCAACAAAGTAAGCTGAAGAAGATGAAGAGTCATTGATTAGAATAAACACTTGTTATTAAGAGCTTACACTTTGGGGCACCTGGGTGGCTCAGTCGTTAAGCATCTGCCTTCGGCTCAGGTCATGATCCCAGGATCCTGGGATCGAGCATCGGGCTCCCTGCTCGGCGGGAAGCCTGCTTCTCCCTCCCCCACTCCCCCTGCTTGTGTTCCCTCTCTCGCTGTCTCTCTCTGTCAAATAAATAAATAAAATCTTAAAAAAAAGAGCTTACACTTTAACATATTTTTCAAGATAAAAAAGTAATAGAGGAGCCCCAAGCAGATCTTTTTCGTTAATACTACATAGTTTCTACTTTTTTTATTCAGTGGTGAAAAATACATAAGATTTGAAATGCTTGGTGATTTACAAAAAAAAAATCAAAATAGCAGTTTATTAAACTCTATGACCAACTTTACTCCACTGGATATAAGCTCCCTCATCTTACCTATTACCTCTACATTTTACCATTTCTTCCTTCACTTCTGTTATCAAAGATAAGCTCCCCATCTCTGTTTTTTGTTTTTTTAGATTTTATTTATTTGAGAGAGAGAATGAGATAGAGAGAGCATGAGAGGGAGGAGGGTCAGAGGGAGAAGCAGACTCCCTGCTGAGAAGGGAGCCCGATGTGGGACTCGATCCCGGGACTCCAGGATCATGACCTGAGCCGAAGGCAGCTGCCCAACCAACTGAGCCACCCAGGCGCCCCCCATCTCTGTTCTTGATGGCATTCCCACCTTTACCAGGGCCTGCTTCAGTTTTTCTCTCTCAAGTTCTCTTTGCCTTCAATCAAATCTCCTGTAAAATCCTTTAGTGATTCTAATGCTTCCTTTAGCTACTACACCGGCTGCTTTCCATTACTAAATTTCTTAGTCTTATAACTTCATTTCCCCTCAAAATGAGAATAGCTTTTTGTTTTCTTCTGATTATAAAATAATTGTTTGGCTTGAAATGGCCAAATGAAAATCTTTTTGCTCTATCCTCTCAGAAGTCAACCTAAAACAAGGAAAAAATGAGAAATAAAAACACAAATCTTACCTTCAACGAGACTAGCAGATGTCTATAACCTGAATCACAAAATATGAGGACAGAATATGAATGGAGGAGCAGTAAATAATTCAGCAGCAGAGAGGAGGTAACACTAGGCACACAGATGACATGGATGAGAAGCAAACCAACAGAGTAGGCAAAGTCCAGGACCCAGAGGCACCAGATGATACAGAAATATGGGTGGAGAACAGGGTGGAAAATGAAGCAGGTTGAAAATATACGTAAGTACAACAGGATCTCTCCAGTTTTTACTCCTACACTTAGAGGAGACGGGATATTTATCATTTGGAGAAACTGAACTAGACAGGCTCAGGACTTTGGGTATCATAGAGGGTAGAGGGGAGGTTTGGGACTAAAATCAGAATGAAAGTTCCTACTTCCTTCTTCCATCCACTCCGAGAACTCCAGCAGCCAGACTTATAATAGGGGACTAAAAGATACTTTGAAGGTGGCTCAGTCGTTAAGCGTCTGCCTTTGGCTCAGGTCACGATCTCAGGGTCCTGGGATCGAGCCCCACATTGGGCTCCCTGCTAAGTGGGAGGCCTGCTTCTCCCTCTCCCACTCCCCTTGCTTGTGTTCCCTCTCTCGCTGTGTCTCTCTCTGCCAGATAAATAAAATCTTAAAAAAAAAAAAAAAAAAAGATACTTTGCTGAAGAAATAGAATGGCCAAAGAGAAAAGACCTCTAAATGCTGACAGCTGGGACTCTGTCAATAAAAAGCTGAGGGTGGGGGTAGGTGCCTGGGTGCCTCAGTTGGTTGAGCAATCCAAGAGTGGACTCTTGATTGTAGCTCGGGTCATGATCTCAGGGTTGTGAGATCAAGCCCCTCGCCAGGCTCCATGCTCAGTGGGGAGTCTGCTTGAGATTCTCCCTCTCCCTCTTCCCCCCTCCCCTGTGCGTGCGCACACACACACACGCAACACACACACACTCTCTCTCTAAAAATAAATAAGGGAATCAAAAAAACAAAACAAAGCAAACAAACCTGGAAGGCCACCCAAGCTTGCCAGTCCACAAGTCCCACCTACTCACACACAGCTGCCAGGCAGCATTGTTGTGCTTCATTCACTCCAGAATATGAATGAATAGTCACAGGTCATCACTTTTGAGGAAAGCCTCTAACATAAACAACAGAGGCTAAAACAAAAAATTTAGAGAAAACAATAACCACAAAAAGAGCAGAAAATAAAATTGATTTCTTCCAAGTTAAGAGAAGATATTAAACCTATGAATGAGTAAGAGGAGTTTGGGACAATCAGAGAATAAGAAAGTTTTGTAAATTAAAAATATGAATACAGAAATAAAATATTCAATAGGAAAGTTTGGAGAATAAACTGAGGAAATAATAGGAAATAGGAAAAAAAAATGGCCAATTAGAAAAGGTAAGAAAGCTACAGGATCAATACAGCCATTTCACAGAAAATAACAACAAAATGAAGCATGGGGGGGGGGGGAGGGAATTACAAAAGAAACTGTATTAGAAAATATCCCAGAACCAGAGGATATGAGCCTCCATAATGAAAGAGTCCACTGAGTACCCAGCACAATGGGGGAAAAATACACACTGAGCTACATTATTCTAAAATTTTAGAATCCTAGAGATAAAGAGGAGATACTAAAGTTAAGAGGGTAGATGTCATGTTAAGTGTTCTTACTACAATTAAATAAACAAATAAGTCCAAGCCAAAAAATATATAAAAATGAAAAAACAGTCTTCCTGAGGGGAAAAGAGTCACAAAGGACTGTAAATAAATGGCATCTGGTTTCTCAACAGTAACACTGGAACCTAGAGGCTAGTTTTGGAAGCTAGAGACTAGTTTCCAACTTTGAAGAGATAACCAGCCAAATTATCAATCAA